CGAAGCCCCATCAGACATTTTTGCAAAGGAAAAAGTTGTTTCAAATCACCTCCACTATGTATATACAGGGTGTCCCAAAAACGTTGTAACACCTTGAAAGAGGTGGTCCGGGAGGTGATTTGAAACAACTTTTTCCTTAGCGAAAATGTTGTCGGAGACTTCGTTAAGGAGATATTAAGAGAAAACCCCGACCAATCAGATCGCGAGGATGCCGATGCTCGCGGTAGCGAAGGCTACGCGCTAGGCGGCCGCGCTCATTGGCTACCGCGAGCGCTGCGTCGGCATCCCGCGCTCTGATTGGTCGGGGTTTTCTCTTAATATCTCCCCAACGAAGCCCCATCAGACATTTTTGCAAAGGAAATTGTTGTTCAGAATCGCCTCAGCTACCCCGCATTTCCGGCTCCTCCCCGACTTTTCGGACACCCTGTATATGTACATATATGTATCTATCTTCAATAGATGGCTGAATTAGCGATTCCGTTAACCTCGAATATCTTCACCTGATGTATTTTTTATATTTTTTATATTTTTCATCTATGACATTAGATGTATAATATGAATCTGTCTTTAATGAAACTGTGCAAATAAATGCCGGTTTTGATTTGAACGGCTCTCGTATATTTCATTGCTAATCTTCTAATCTTTCGCTTGTAAACGATGATAATTTAATCCGCAGTATGCTAGTTGCGAACAGGCGTGCTCGATAATTCAATGAATGTGCTCTTCGGTGCGCGGTTTCCGGGTTAAGAGTGCAAAGTGTGTGCAGTGAGACAACATGGCGTCAGAAAGGAAGGAAGGAAGGAAGGAAGGAAGGAAGGAAGGAAGGATGGATGCAGTCGAAAAGTCCACTTCACACCGCTTGCACTGTCCCTCGGTGCAAGAATAGCGAGAAACGTGTACTCTTTACTCCGTTTGTATGAATATTACACATATATTTCTACTGTATACTTTTCCAAATTGAGAGGGACAGCGAAAGTGGTTCGAAAATACTGTAGGACCTCGGTTGTACCAGTTACCAGCCAGTGGTTTTCCTAGCTTTTCTCTAAAATGAAAATCAGTTACAATGAAAAGAAATGATTAGGTAGACTGGAAAGTAGAGTAAATCCAAAGAAATTTTGGATAAATTTCTATTTTTAATTAATCATGTAATCGTCCTCGTTATCAACAGCCTCTTGCCATCTGATGTGCAAATGTTCAATGCCAGATAAAAATTAATGACCTGACGAGTGATAGACAATCATTTAAAATTGCAAAAACGACATTACTTTCCAGTCTAGCAGTGCTACGCGTTGTCAATCTAGAAAGATAAAGCGCAGCTATACCAGATTGTAAAATAACCGTTCAACGTAGGAATAAAAGAAGCAAAAGTTGGAATAATCGAGGTTCATCGGTAATTTCATTCTGTCGCTGGACTGGACGAGATAAACTTTCCTTTATTGGCTTAAAGAATATCGAGTCCCCTTGATCAAATTCCAATCAATCCGCCATTAAACAACGGCAGAATTTTCTGGATACCGTACCACGGGAAAATAGAAACGTTACGTCTGCTGAAAATTGCTAAAGATCTGTGCCGTTCCACGAGAATGTATTTATCGATTTGTTATTAGAATCTCATTCGATTCCGTGGCGAATTTTTCTCTGGAAACTAACGATATTTACTTGAACTGACTCCATCGAACTGTAGTCAACACGTAAATATTATATACAGTTACTCGTTTTCATATATACAACAGCGTGTATACAATGTGTTTACTTGAACGCAATGCGGGTACCGTAACGGAATGTTTCTGGCACGGCTTCGCGTCGTCGATTAGTTTCGGTTAGACACCGAAACGGCACGCATCACGGTGTTCTCCGCTACATCTGCTCTCTAACACGTGTAGAGATCGTCGGTTGTATTCATCCTTCATCACCGACGGAATCATTCGCGAGTAATCACGAATAATCACGAATAATCACGAATAATCACGACTAATTCATATATAAGAACATACGAGAGAATTCCGCAGTCGCGAATTTTCCTGACCGTTGCGAGTAATATTCGTTATAACCATTGTGGAAGAAAAAAAAAATGTACGTCGCGTATATGTGATTAAAAACATAGCAACCTACCATAGTAGTTCTGCGCCGTGCGCGCTTGTAATATTAATAAAGCACCGCACGCGAGCGTATTACGCTCTAATCCTAAAGTTAAACACTTTCATCCCTGAGGAGCTATTCGTCAGAAGCACTGTGTAATGACACTGGGTATGGAAAATACGGTGGCCGAACTGTTACAAGATTAGCCGTGTTTTATCCGGGACTACATGCGATGCAATATTAGAGTTATTATAGAGATATAGAGTACGTTGATGGTGGCAGAATAGACGAATTAAGATCGCCACGCGGTTGAGGATATACAGGTCGATTAGAAGGGGTCCAAGGAGGTCCTTGAAAGGGATGGTTGGAAGGGACGCGTGATTTCAAACAACTTTTCCCTTGGCGAAAATCTTGTAGGAGGCTTCGTTGAGGAGATATTAACCGAAAACACCGACCAATCAGAGCGCGTCCGACTAAAACGTAGCCGACACTACTGCGTCCGACTAAAGCGTGGGCTATACTACTGCGTCCGACTAAAGCGTGGGCTGTACTACTGCGTCCGACT